GAATGATTTTTTTTTCATTCTAGTGTCAATTTATTAATTATTAAGAATTTATTTTTCGTAATTTAGGTAATTTTTACTTTTTCTTCTATTATTTTGCAATTGATTTTCCACGTTTTTTCTTCTGTTTTTATTTTTAATGAAGTAATTTAAATACACATTTCTTTTTTCTTTTCTTTTGCTATTAATTCTTACAAAATGGTCTAGATTTTGAGAGTCTATTAAGACAACAATATTTTATTAAGTAATTTCGTGTTTTTTTTATTTTTCTTATATTATTGTCTTGTTTTTTCTTTTCGATTTTCAAAAAAATTAAATTAAAGTGTCAGGATTAAAAAGCATTAAGGTTTGATTTTCGCTCAAATCTCTCGATTATTTTAAGAATGAAAAAAGATAACAGAAACACAATATTTAAACTCTGACTAACTAAAACAATACATTTTTTCGTTGAAGTGGTTTCAAAATTATGATTTTATCTTGACAATTCTTACATCAGTTAAATCACGTACAGATTATTTAAAGATTACTAGAACTAAGTGCTTAAAAAGTAGGTAATTATAACTTGAGTGCTAATTACAATGTTTTAAATTTGACATTTTTAACTCTAAATCTCCTAATCTTAAAAAATAAAATTAAAAATTGGCACGTTTTTGACTCGTGTTGGATTTCACACCAATAAAACGATATTCCAATTATTTATAACTGCAATAAAACATAAAAATTGATTAAATTCTTGTTTTTTATTCTTCCTTAAAATCCGAACAATTCGGATTTAGAATTAATTCCGACAAAGTCCTTTGTCTGCAATCACGTAAGCTGATTAGTGATTACAAAAATTAGTTATCAATTAATTAAGTTAATCTATATTATAGTTTATCCGGTTAGCTGGGCAAACTTATATAAAGTAAGAGAGCTAAAAGCGACCCCCAATTCAAGTTGAAAAAATGGTGGCCGAAAAAGTTGCACTTACCGAACGTTTTATGTGGATTTTCAATACGATTTTCCACCAAATTTTCGCCGTTGTGACAATTTTTATTCTGTGGACTATTTTTTACAATTATGTGATTGATTCGTACTTCACGTGGCATATGGTACTCGCCACCGTCGCAGTGAGTCATGATTTATTTCATTTTTCTTGTTTCATTGTTGTTTTCTTGCTTTTTGTGTCATTTTTTTATTCTAGTTTCAATGAATTGACTATTGAAACGTTTATTTTCGTAGTTTTGGTAATTTTTCCAAGAGAATACATATAATAAAAAAATAACTAATTTTTGTTTTTTTCCTCGTTTTTTGCTATTTTGTTTTTTGTTTTATTTATTATTGAGGAAAAGAAGGAAATATTCGCTGTTTTTTAACAATTTTTTGACTGTCGAATAATTTTTTCATTCTAGTTTTTTATTAATTTTATTGGAAAGTTAATTTTTGCAATTTTGGTAATTTTT